CCGAGGTTACCTTGCGAGGAGCCTGCGGCCGCCGACGACCGCATTCCTCACGCCTAAACACCGCCGACTTCACAGTCGTGTATCACACCTCGCTGCCTGGACGTCTTGCCTCCCGCACATTACTTACCCAAATGGTTGGTACCAAGAGTAAGCGCGTTACTTGCGGAGATAACTCTATCAACGGGATCTAGATACGGGCTAGTCACGAGTTAGGAGGGATCGCTGCGTTCGTTCGTTCTTTAGTCGTTTCCAAGTGCTTCACTCTACTTGCTAGTTCACGGGGAGAAATGGCAAAAGTTTCACTAGGAAAACTTGGGAACAATAATTATACAATGAAGTTGGTAAGACAAGACTACATCAGAGCTAGCATGCAAGTAGGTCGACTGTCAGCGCAGCACGGTCGACCGCATTTCAACACGGCATGGTCGACCGCGCTCCAACAGTGCAAAATTACTGCTTGCCAACGAAGCAAGTCGACGGCGTGCCAGCGTTGCTCCCACAAAACAGTGGCGCACCCGCTTCGCAGGTGCTCGCAGATGATTGGCGTTCTATGCCTTGTCACCTGCACAGCGCACGCACAACGTCATCCTTGTGCTGACGACTGCTTCTGATCTGCTTCTGATCCTAAGTGGAAATTATTCGCATCGCATTTCAACCTTGTATTATAAATCGGTATTCTGCAGTGCAGATGTCGATATTGTAGATATTTTTGTCTTGTGTCGTGGTTTGAATCGAACGTGATGCGGTTAGGCCGTTAGACGCGATGCTGGGATTGCGCCTTAAGTCCCAGCTGCGTTGTGAGCTAACGCCTGAAAGGCAGCTGCCAACGCTGGGATTCCATTCAGTTTCTATTTCCTCCTAGCGTAGCTCGTTCTGCAACTGTTTGCTTGCTTGTGTTGCGTCCCCTTTCGCTTCGTTCAACGGGTACCTATCACGCTTCGGTCGTGACGTAGTATACACATCTCTTTTCTGTCTTCTCAATGTTTTGATGTTTCGCGTCAAACTGGTAGCTTTAGCCTTGGCATCTTAGTCACGTCGCTCGCCGCCGTGAATCCCAAGGCTTTCCAGTCAGGCTCCAAGAGTAAAATATCTTGTCACCATATGGTACATATAATAGCCATATAAATTATATGACATATATTAGACATGTACTGTATACCACATGTAGCTAGCCAAATTAGGTATATTGCCAAATAACTGTACAGATCGCTTTCGTTCTTGTTTTCATATCAGGTAGACGAGACATATTTGTCCTTTCTGTATCCCAAACGCCTTCCTTATTTTCGATTCAGTAGACGTTAAAGCCTTGTCCTTTCCGCATCGCAAACGTCTACCTCATCCCAAAAAAGGCGTGGCTGGTCGGGCATAAACTTTTTAGGTTTCCGAAAGGTTGCCTGCGTAGGACTTACGGTTCGGTTACGAGAGGGTATGTTTGGCGATGGGCGCTTCGGAAAGTTGCCAAAAGTTACCTGGTTTGTTTGGGCGCCAAACGCTTCGCACCCGTGATTGGCTGTCGGTTCAAGATTACGGTTTGGCAAGATTTCGCCTCTCGCTTTGACTAAAGTAGTTGGTTCGCAGTTGTTTCTAGGTCCAATTTCGATAGTTGTGTAGGGACCATTGAAACAGTGCTGTGAAAAACAATGCAATTTCTTATTGCTTGTGATGTATTATTACAAAAACAAAATGATTTTTTTTTCTTCCCAATAGATGCATTGAAGTATTGTGACCTCACCACTTGAGTTTTAAAACATTTTTAGTAATATCTTAGGTTGTAGTGCAAATTGTCGTGCTTCATGTTGCTCATTGTTACGATGTTTCCCCTAATAATTTTTTAGAAACACCACATACTAATACTAGATGCTTCGAATGGCACCAAATTTCATCCAGCATCCTTGCAATGTACTACATGCTTGAATGAGCAAGAAAATTCTTGTTCAAAATAACAAACGGACGTTGATAACGAACGGCGTGTTGCACAGGCCTATCCTTGTACTCTCTATCAGATTGTTGGAATCACCATATCTCTCTGCGAGATGCTGCGAATGCCACAAAATCGGTTCAACGTCCTTACAATATAATAAATATATGTTTGATCAAGAAAAACTTTGTTCAAAATGATAAACACGAGGGCATCACGTGTCGAACAGGCCTATCCTTGCACAGGTTTCTACTCCTCAGTTGTTCGAAACACCATATCGTCCTACCAGATGCTCCGAATGGCACCAAGATGGTCCTGCGTCCTAATAATATAGTAAAATATTTTTTGATCAATAGAAACCTTGTTCAACATGACAAAACGATGTCGAGATGGCGTCGCGTGTCGCACAGGTCTATCCTTGCAAAATTTTTGCTGCTTAAATGATTGAAACACCATATCTTCCTACCAGATGCTGCGAAAGGCACCAAATCGGCCCAGCATCCTTACAATATAATAAATGAATGCTTGATAAATAAACCTTCTCAGAAATGGCAAGTCGATGTCTAGACGACATCGCGTGTCGCACAGGCCTATCCTTGCATAGTTTTAGCTCATGAGTTGTTTGAAACACCATATCTTCCTACCAAATGCTGCAAATGATATCTATTTGGTCCAGCATCCTTACAATATAGTAAATGGGTGTTTGATCAAGAGAAACCTTGTAAGAATGGCAAACGGATGTCGAGGCGGCACTGCGTTTCGCACAGGCCTATCCTTGCACAGTTTTCGCTGCTCAGTTGTTTGGAACACTATATCTTCCTACCAGATGCTGCGAATGACACCAAATTGGTCCAGCATCCCTATGATATAGTATATAATATTTGATCAAGCGAAACCATGTTAAAAAAGGCAAACTGATATCGAGGCGGCACCACGTGTTGCACTGGTCTATCCTTCCACAGTTTTTTATAGTTGTTTGAAACACCATATCTTCCTACCAGATACTGCAAATGCCACCAAAACGGTCCAGCATCCTTACAATATAGTAAATGAATGTTTTTTCAAGAGAAACCTTGTTAAAAATGACAAACCGATGTCAAGAGAGCACCGCGTGTTACACAGACCTTTTTTTGCACTGTTTTTGTTGCTTGGTTGTTTGAAACACCATACATTCCTACCAGATGCTACGAATGGCACCAAATTGGTCCAGCATCGTTACAATATAGTAAATGGATGTTTGATCAAGAAAAACCTTGTTGAAAATGACAAACTGATGTCGAGATAGCACCGCGTGTCGCACATGCCTATCCTTGCACAGTTTTCGCTGCTTGGTTGTTTGAAACACCCCACCTTCCTACCACATGCTACGAATGGCACCAAATCGGTCCAGCATCGTTACTTTATAGTAAATGGATGTTCGATTAAGAAAAATCTTGTTAAAAATGACATACCGATCTCGAGATGACACCACGTATCGCAGAGGCCTATCCTTGCACAGTTTTGGCTACTCAGTTGTTTGGAACACCATAACTTCCTACCAAATGCTGCGAATGATGTTGGTGTAAGGGCCTAATAAACTCAAGCTATTAGGACTTAATCAAACTTAAAACCTCTCCTCGGGGTCACCTCCAAGGGTCCCTGGGTGCCTGGTACAAGACCAGCCCCTATCCTCGGGTCCGAGTTTGTAGAGAGAGGGATCAAGAAGGACTTAGTCAAAACAGCAAGGGTACCTTGAACGTCGCGCAGCGTGCCGTGCAGACCGTCGGTCGGATTAAGCTGAGAATTCGCTATATCGAAGCTCGCTCCAAGAGCTTTAAAATGAGCCAAGTTGCCTCGCGAAAAGTTCTGCCATTACTAAGTTCTGGCTCGGACAGCGTTTGCCTAGCGTTGGAGTGCTAGCATACTAGCGTTGACTCGGGTAGCATTCCGCCGTCGAATAGCGCAGAAACGAAATTCCAGCGAGGAAGGAATTCGCTTGAATCAATTTTACTATATTCAGGTAGAAACTGAGAAGGATTAAATAGTTCTAGCTAGCAAGGACCTTGGGAATCAACCTGGGAACAACCAGGGATGATCCCAAATAATTCCAAGCAACAGAACCAACCTGGCTGGACAAAATAGCAGGTGGTAGGTTGGTAAACAACCTCTGGTTCTGTTTTTCCAACCTGGGAAAAACAACAACCAGGTTCAGGTTCTAAAAACAGAACCTGTTTTGTCTTTGCCCAACCAGCCAAATGCTGGTTCCGCTGGTTTCCCCTGGCCTTGTAGCATGCAGATACAGACAAACAACATCCAACCTTCACCTAAATTGTACCCCTATAGTGCCTTCCCTGCTACACTATAGTTAACCAAACAAAACAGTACAATTTCGAGTTGGATAGAACTGAATCTGCGCAATCAACTCAACCGAACTGCAAAGCTTCCATCTTGGGTTCCTTTGCGAGCTCGTCCTTTCTGCTTGCACTGTTCATAGCGCGTACAATGTTGTGCCGAAGCGCACATTGCGCGAGTACCTGCAAATGCATCAAGCGAAAATTGCGAAAGCAAACAAACACACGAACACACCATTCACACGCAAATGCATTCGCACACGCATACTCGTACAAACAGACGGCAGGATGTCGTGCAATGTGCATTTGCACCCAACACACTCCCCCTCAGCCTGCCGGCTGCATCCCCGTCATTCCATGCTAGTTCATGCTCATTCCACTCATGCGCACACAACGCCAATGAGGCTCATCCGCAAGCCTCTTGGTGAGAAAGTCTGCTGGCTGCTGGTGAGTCTTGATGTAGATTGGATTCACCGTCCCCCTCTTCACCTCCTTACGCAGCCAGTGCCACTTGATACGCATGTGCTTGTTCAGGCCATGAAGCACAGCGTTCCTGGCCATCCCAAGAGCCCCCTTGCTATCACAAAACAGCGGCGTAGCAACTTTCTGCTCCTGGCCAATCTCCTCTAACAGCCTCCTCAGCCAAATCACCTCCTTCACCCCATGGAACATCGCCATGTACTCTGATTCTACGGAAGAGAGTGCCGTCTCCGTCTGCTTCTTGGACCTCCAACTAACAGGTCCTCCCCCAACTACGCAGATGTATCCTCCTTCTCAGAAGCCCATGTAGCATCGGTAAAGCAAGTGAGAAATAGCTTGCCTTCTCCAAGCCTCTCCCCCTTCTCTTTCAGCACCTCCACCCCTTTCTGCTTCACCTGTGCAGATGCGGAGTATTGAACTCCAATGCTTGGGTGAGAGTTCAGGTACTTCACCACACGCTCAGCTGCATCCACCTGCTCCTCTGATGGATTCTGCACCACCCTAGCCAGCTGCCCAACCGAGAAAGAGATGTCGGGCCTCGTGTGAACTGCTGCGTACAAGAGGCTGCCCACCAAGGACTGAAATTGCTGCTGCTCTTCAGCTTCAACCCCTTCATCCTCTGCAGCCTTCACAAGCTTGAATTCTGCTGGCAGGGGAGTTGCAACCTTGCGCTCATTCTCAATCCCATACTTCTCCCCCAGCTCCTTGATGAACTTCTCCTGGTGCAGCTTCAACCACCTGTGATCTGGATCCCTCTCCACGTGCATCCCGAGGTAGTACTTTACCTCCCCAAGGTTCTTGCACTTGAAGTTTTTCATCAGTTGCTGCTGCACTTTCTGGATCTCCTTCATGCTGCTGCTGAAGAGAAGAATGTCGTCCACATAGACCAGAAACAGCACCAGCTTCTCCCCTTCGCCCTTGAGAAAGAGGCTCTCATCACAGCTGCTGGTCCTGAATCCCATCTCCTCTAAAACAGCTGCCAACTTCTGGTACCAGCAGCGTGGCGCCTGCTTCAAGCCGTAGATGGACTTGTTGAGCTTGCACACCCTGCCCGTACCATCCTCATACCCAGGCGGCTGCGTCATGTACACATCCTCCTCTAAAATCCCATTCAGGAATGCCGTTGAAATATCCATATGAATGATGAATTTCCCACTAACAGCTGCATCTGCCAACAAGACACGGAGGGTAGGGGGTTTGGCAGTGGGAGCAAAGATTTCGTTGAAGTCCTGCTTCTCCTTCTGCATAAACCCCTTCGCCACCAGCCTACTCTTGTAGATGGTGACCTGCCCCTTGTCATCGGTCTTGATCCTCAGCACCCACTTGCATTGTATCGCTTTCTTCCCATCAGGCAGCACCACCAGATCCCATGTCCTATTCTCCAGCAGACTCTGGTACTCAGCATCCCTAGAAGCCAGCCACTTGTCCCTATCTGGTCCAGCTAATGCCTCTTCCATGCTAGCTGGTTCCTCTGGTGCAGGGGCAAGAAAACAGTACGCAGGCTCATCCTCCTCATCCGGGTCATAGCCATGAGGTAGAATCAGCAATGCCTCTTCGGTCCCTAGCTGCTGCTCTGCTGCATCAGTTCCTGCAGTCAGCTTCTTAGTAGCCATACGGGTACGTCCTGGCCTGGAGACGGGTGTCTCCCATCCCTTCATAACGACACCCTTCGGCTTCTTAGTTTTCCCCTGCTGCTGCTCTCCTCCCTCGGGTCCAGCAGCTCCACTAGTGCTGCCGCCAGTTTCCACACCATTTTCTCCACCAGCAGATGCCTCCTGTACCTTCTCTCCATCACCATTTCCAGCAGCTGCCTCCTCTCCCTCCTCCCACACACTAGGAGTCAGGTCCAGCTGCATGGTGATCTGCTCCATCTGCTGGGACACCCTTGCCTCCGGCTGTTTCTCCCAGCTCCCATACATCATGCCCTCAATGAATTTCACATCCCTGCTGTCAAACAACACACCCTTGGATGGTTCCCACAGCAGCCATCCCTTGCTCTCAGCAGCCAGCCCCAAATGCACACACCAGATTGCACTCGCCCCCAACTTACTGCGGTAGGTCTTGGGGACGTGGGCGACTGCCATGCAACCGAACACCCTCAGCATGTCCACCGGCGGCTTCCTCCCAAGCCACCTCTCCAACGGCACCCACGAGTCATCCCCAACCTTGGTGAGCACCCTGTTCCTAGCGACAGTGGCGTGCCGGACAGCATGAGGCCACATAGAATTGCTCAGCCCAGATTCTATGAGCAGCGCCCTAGCTGTCTCCAGAATGGTCCGGTTTGCCCGTTCTGCTACACCATTGGACTGTGGGGTATAAGCCGTGGTCAGCTCTCTCTGGATGCCCTGCTTCTTGAGCCAGGCCGTCATTTCAGCTCCAAGGAACTCACCACCCTGGTCTGTCCTAATCCGCTTCACTACACACTCCGCCTGCTTCTCCATGAATGGCAGCCAATCGTCCCGTATCGTGGAGGCGGCGTGGTCCTTCTGCTTCAGCGGATACGCCCACATCAGCCTGCTCCAGTCATCCACAATTGTAAGAAAATACCGCTCCCCCTTGTGCCCTTGCACCGGCAGCGGCCCCACCAAGTCCATGTGGACCAGCTTCAAAGGCTTCTTGCTCCTGCCAGCCACACTATGGAAAGGGAAACGGATGAACTTTGAAAGCAAACAGATTTCACAGTTGTCATCGGGTGGCTGTCCGTTCAGCTTCAGACCCTTAACGGCTCCATCCTTCTCCAGCTGCTTCAGCAAAGGCATTGCCACATGCCCTAAGCGCCGGTGTGCCGTTGCCCAATCTGTCTCCCCAGATCTGGCCGACACTTTCACACCAACCCCTCCAACGGCATTGCACTCCCCCTGGGATGCAGACCCCTCTCCAGCCTGCCCCCCACCATGCCACGCCAGGGCCGGCAGCTGCCACATAGATCTGTACACGTCCTTGCTCTCGTGCAGATCCCAAAGCACCCGATTGCCCAGCTTCCCCTTATAAGTGCGTGCCCCATCCGTGTTGGTGTTCACCCCAGCCTTGCCAAGCTTACGGAGGGAGATAAGGTTGGCCTTCAGGTCGGGGACGAAGAGAACGTCGTGCAGCACCACCGGCTTGCCATCCGCTCCCTTAAACGCAGCTCGTCCCGCACCAGCCACCTTCAACATGTGTCCAGAGGCGGAGCACACTTCATTGATCGGTGCAGCTCGTACTTCGTCCAGCAGGTCCTTGCGCGGCGTCATCGTCCAAGCAGCGCCTGTGTCCAACACCCAATAGTCTAGGGGGTGCAGCTCTGCTCCAACTTTGGCAGAGGCGTCTCCTTGCTCCCCTTGTCTCCCACATGGAAGAATTGGCCCGCGGTGCGCTCCTTCTTCTTCTCCGCACCGCCGTTGCCCTTCGGGTTGTTGTCGGACGAATCAGCGACCATGTTGGCGCCGTTTTTCTGGTTCCTCCGCGCGCCGCCATCCTGGTGACGATTCTGGGGGGTCCATCCATCGGGTTTCTTATAGCACAAAAACCAGGGGTGCCCTTCCTTCTCACAATACCAGCAACTCCCTTTCATTTTGCCACCAGCACCCGACTTGCCCCCACGTCCAGATTTCGCACCGCGACCCCAACCGGTACCTCCTTGTTGGTCGTTGGAGTCGTCGTCTTTCTTTGCACCGCGTCCAGCACCACCGAAGCCACGTCCTCTGCCACGTCGGCTCCCTTGCATCCCGTAGCCGCTGCTGCCGTCGTCTCCACCCCTCAGTTGGCGGCGACGGAAGTCCTCCTCCAGAATCTTCGTCCGCACCCACTCGAGCGTCCACAAGCTCTGGTTCTGCGGCAGGCTCAATCCGCTCGTAAATTGAAGCCACGATTCCGGCAGCAGCGAGAGCATCTTCAAGCACTTGGTCTGCTCCGGGTAGGTGATTCCCGCGGTCGCCAACTTCGCGTAGAGGTCGCGCATCTTGTCCAGGACTGGTTGCACCGGCTCTCCCTCGCTCAGGCGCAACGCGGACAGCTCCCTCTCCAGCATCAACGTTGCGACAACGGAGGTCGGGGCGTGCAGCTCCTTCAACACGGTCCACGCCTTCGGACCGCATTCAACCTCCGGCAGCAGGTGCATGACGTGGTGACGCTGGTTCAGCTCCAAACTCTGCGACATCAAATAGTAGCCAGCCGAGGAGCGCTCGTCCCAATCTTCCTGCAGCGTGGGGTCACTCGGTCTAGGCTCCTCCCCAATCATTAGTTTCAGCAAACCGATCTGACGGAAATATAATTGCATTTTCCAGGCCCAATCATCATAGCCCTCACCATTGAACTTCTCGACGGTGAAATTCTTCAGCACCTCCTTGACAAGCGAGCCCTGGTTTGTTCGCGCTCCCCTTGGCGCTGAAAGACCAGAATCTTGGCTGCCGCTACGATCTTGGGCTGAAGATTCACCAGCTCCCGCCGAGGTGTTGCCCGCCATAGCTACCTATAACGAGGATCACTATAACGCAGCTCTGATACCAGCTTGTTGGTGTAAGGGCCTAATAAACTCAAGCTATTAGGACTTAATCAAACTTAAAACCTCTCCTCGGGGTCACCTCCAAGGGTCCCTGGGTGCCTGGTACAAGACCAGCCCCTATCCTCGGGTCCGAGTTTGTAGAGAGAGGGATCAAGAAGGACTTAGTCAAAACAGCAAGGGTACCTTGAACGTCGCGCAGCGTGCCGTGCAGACCGTCGGTCGGATTAAGCTGAGAATTCGCTATATCGAAGCTCGCTCCAAGAGCTTTAAAATGAGCCAAGTTGCCTCGCGAAAAGTTCTGCCATTACTAAGTTCTGGCTCGGACAGCGTTTGCCTAGCGTTGGAGTGCTAGCATACTAGCGTTGACTCGGGTAGCATTCCGCCGTCGAATAGCGCAGAAACGAAATTCCAGCGAGGAAGGAATTCGCTTGAATCAATTTGACTATATTCAGGTACAAACAGAGAAGGATTAAATAGTTCTAGCTAGCAAGGACCTTGGGAATCAACCTGGGAACAACCAGGGATGATCCCAAATAATTCCAAGCAACAGAACCAACCTGGCTGGACAAAATAGCAGGTGGTAGGTTGGTAAACAACCTCTGGTTCTGTTTTTCCAACCTGGGAAAAACAACAACCAGGTTCAGGTTCTAAAAACAGAACCTGTTTTGTCTTTGCCCAACTAGCCAAATGCTGGTTCCGCTGGTTTCCCCTGGCCTTGTAGCATGCAGATACAGACAAACAACATCCAACCTTCACCTAAATTGTACCCCTATAGTGCCTTCCCTGCTACACTATAGTTAACCAAACAAAACAGTACAATTTCGAGTTGGATAGAACTGAATCTGCGCAATCAACTCAACCGAACTGCAAAGCTTCCATCTTGGGTTCCTTTGCGAGCTCGTCCTTTCTGCTTGCACTGTTCATAGCGCGTACAATGTTGTGCCGAAGCGCACATTGCGCGAGTACCTGCAAATGCATCAAGCGAAAATTGCGAAAGCAAACAAAACACAACGAACATTCCATTCACACCCAAATGCATTCGCACACGCATACTCGTACAAACAGACGGCAGGATGTCGTGCAATGTAAATTTGCACCCAACAAATGACACCAAATTGGTCCAGCATCCTTATAGTATAGTAAATGAACGTCTGATCAAGAGAATCCTTGTTAAAAATATCAAACGGATGTTGAGACGGCACCACGTGTCGCACATGCCTAATATTGCATGGTTTTATGCGCCCAATTATTTGAATACAATATCTCTGTACCAGATGCTGCGGGTGGTACCAAATGTATCCAGCAGTCTTAAAATAATGGTTAATGGACGAATGATCAAGAAAAATTTTGTTTAGATATGACGGAGTCTATCTCGTTGTGCCTGCAAATGTATAAGGGCGTTATCAACATACCAGATACATCTCAACAATAATTTGAATGGAAACGAAGCAGTACAATATCAGTACAGGAAGTGTTTGTGCAAACCTAGGGATGAGTATTGTACCACTTTATGCTCGATCATTGGTACGGATAGATATATACCAAATGTGATGTTCGAAATCAGTTGTGTTGTTTGAAATTGTGTCATAAATATTTGTAATAGAAATGTTTGGGCGATATTTCATAAACTTCACGACGCGTGGGCTGTTGGTGCTGCTCGTGGTCATGTATTGCCTGTGGTATCATCCTTCGTAACAATCTGTCTGTTTCATTTTTGACGTTCAAGATTGGGCCTTGAAACAAATGTGATTAGTTAGTGGTTCGCTCTTCAGCATGAATATGTGTACAATGGTTCGAGAATCTGCCACGCTGTTACAACTTCTGCCTGTATCTGTCGTGCCTTGGCAACAGTGCGGTGCTATTCGAGAAACTGGCCGCGCTGGCAGCAGCGCGGCTCACGCGGTGCAATTGTCGAACATCGCATTCATGTATCCCTTCAGCAGAGTTTGACTAGGTTCATTCAACCTCTAGCTGTGCTGGCAGTTCAGGTCTGCCAACGCACAAAGGGGATCTGATTTTAGCGAATCAGGTTCCTTTGTGCCATCTGCTCCAGCGCAAGTCCTGCCATGTGAAGTTCTCAGGCCCTTGCTGGATGCCCCCAGCTGATTCGATCGAACGCATTCCTTGCGCGCGAATTGGTAGAGGGTGCAATGGTGGTATGTGTGGTTTAGACAAAAGGTTTATCTAAAAGTTTCTCTATCTACTGCCCGTTTCCAAATTGGGTTACCTTGCTATTTAACAATAAGCTGTACGTCAGACAAACCGTCAACAACAAATTTTTTTGTTCGCCGACAAATGTTTTTTCCTTCCCTGTCATGCCAACACGACCTCACCCTCCGTCCTCCCACCTTTTCTGGAGAGTCACACCACCAGCTATCTTCTCTTTCCCTCCCTTCCATCTTCCACCCTCGCTCTCGCCTATTTTCACACCCGTCCTTCATCAGTCAGTTGTTTCTGCTCTAATAGATATGTCTGTTTTCGTGGGGACCGAGGAGGGCAATGCTGATTCTACCTCATGGCTATGACCCGGATGAGGAGGATGAACCTGCCTACTGTTTTCTTGCTCCTGCACCAGAGGAACCAGCTAGCATGGAGGAGGCATTAGCTGGACCAGATAGGGACAAATGGCTGGCTTCTTAGAATGCTGAATACCAGAGCCTGCTAGAGAATGGGACATGGGATCTGGTGGTGCTGCCTGAGGGGAAGAAATGCAAGTGGGTGCTGAGGATCAAGACCGATGATAAGGGGCAGGTCACCATCTACAAGAATAGGCTGGTGGCGAAGGGGTTTGTCAACAGGAGTTGTGTGTTGGCCCCGTCCTCGCTTGGGCAGAGCCGACTTCGTGGTCGGGTGTAGGGTTGCAGCCAAACTGCAGCAGTGGGCGAGGCGGGTTGGCGAAAAAGTCGACCTGCTCGGGTGCCACTGCATGGACGCAGACTTCAGGATGGCGGCCGACTTCAGGGAGGTCGACCTGGGAAGTCGACCTGCGGAGGGCGTCGACTTGGTGACGCCAACTTGGGGCAGCCGACTTGGGTGGTCGGCTGACAAGACTGCTGGTCGACCTGGTGGTTGGTCGACCAGGACTACTGGTCAACTTGGTGGTTGGTCGACCAGGCATGATGTCGACCTGGGGTCGAAGACCGAACTGTTGGTGTAAGGCCTAATAACTCAAGCTATTAGGACTTAATCAAACTTAAAACCTCTCCTCGGGGTCACCTCCAAGGGTCCCTGGGTGCCTGGTACAAGACCAGCCCCTATCCTCGGGTCCGAGTTTGTAGAGAGAGGAATCAAGAAGGACTTAGTCAAAACAGCAAGAGTACCTTGAACGTCGCGCAGCGTGCCGTGCAGACCGTCGATCGAATTAAGCTGAGAATTCGCTATATCGAAGCTCGCTCCAAGAGCTTTAAAATGAGCCAAGTTGCCTCGCGAAAAGTTCTGCCATTACGGAGTTATGGCTCAGACGGTGTTTGCCTAGCATTAGAGTGCTAGCGTACTAGCGTTGACTCGGGTAGCATTCCGCCAACGAACCGCGTAGAAACGAAATTCCAGCGAGGAAGGAATTCACATGAATCAATTTGACTATATTCAGGTACAAACAGAGAAGGATTAAATAGTTCTAGCTAGCAAGGACCTTGGGAATCAACCTGGGAACAACCAGGGATGATCCCAAATAATTCCAAGCAACAGAACCAACCTGGCTGGACAAAATAGCAGGTGGTAGGTTGGTAAACAACCTCTGGTTCTGTTTTCCAACCTGGGAAAACAACAACCAGGTTCAGGTTCTAAAAACAGAACCTGTTTTGTCTTTGCCCAACCAGCCAAATGCTGGTTCCGCTGGTTTCCCCTGGCCTTGTAGCATGCAGATACAGACAAAGAACATCCAACCTTCACCTAAATTGTACCCCTATAGTGCCTTCCCTGCTACACTATAGTTAACCAAACAAAACAGTACAATTTCGAGTTGGATAGAACTGAATCTGCGCAATCAACTCAACCGAACTGCAAAGCTTCCATCTTGGGTTCCTTTGCGAGCTCGTCCTTTCTGCTTGCACTGTTCATAGCGCGTACAATGTTGTGCCGAAGCGCACATTGCGCGAGTACCTGCAAATGCATCAAGCGAAAATGCGAAAGCAAACAAACACACGAACACACCATTCACACGCAAATGCATTCGCACACGCATACTCGTACAAACAGACGGCAGGATGTCGTGCAATGTGCATTTGCACCCAACACACTCCCCCTCAGCCTGCCGGCTGCATCCCCGTCATTCCATGCTAGTTCATGCTCATTCCACTCATGCGCACACAACGCTAATGAGGCTCATCCGCAAGCCTCTTGGTGAGAAAGTCTGCTGGCTGCTGGTGAGTCTTGATGTAGATTGGATTCACCGTCCCCCTCTTCACCTCCTTACGCAGCCAGTGCCACTTGATACGCATGTGCTTGTTCAGGCCATGAAGCACAGCGTTCCTGGCCATCCCAAGAGCCCCCTTGCTATCACAAAACAACGGCGTAGCAACTTTCTGCTCCTGGCCAATCTCCTCTAACAGCTCCTCCCAGCCAATCACCTCTTTCACCCCATGGAACATCGCCATGTACTCTGATTCTACGGAAGAGAGTGCCGTCTCCGTCTGCTTCTTGGACCTCCAACTAACAGGTCCTTCCCCCAACTACGCAGATGTATCCTCCCACAGATGAGGAATCCTCCTTCTCAGAAGCCCATGTAGCATCGGTAA